TAATTCAGGTTCAAAAGAGAGCTCACAATACTGTTGACTGGTTTTATTATTTTTCACGATGTTGATTTTATTCGTCTGAATAGCCTGAATAATTGTTCACTTGGCCTTGAAATTCATATACCAAGGCAGTTTCCAGTGATTATCAAACAAAGGATGAAATTTTAAATCTTTTGGAGCACTTGATTGATTTCTTTTTGTTTTACAGCATGAAAACCAGTCTTTATTTCCATGATCATGTCAATGGTTCTATGATATCATTTGGGAAATGCAGAGGGGGAATGAAAATTATCCTTGAAGCTCTTATTTTCTCTATACCATGAAGAATTTCCTAATCTGAGCCTGATCAGCATTACATTTTTAATGTAATGATAATATAAGGTGTGCTTCAACATTTACATTCCCTACTAAATTGAAAATTAAATACCTCCTCCTCCTCCAGAAAATGTTGGATATGTGCACATTTAGGGAGCTTTTATTAGCTAATGGATCTGTATCTTGTGAAAGTAAGCATCTTCCAAGTTGCCAGTTTACATACTTAATTAAAACTGTATTAATTTCATTTGTTATGCAAAATAGTGATCCTGGGATTTGAGAATTGGAGGACTTTTGTTAGGGAGTTAAATGTGCTGATATCATGGGCTTTCTTCAGAGAGTATATGAATCATATACACAGAAATAGTTGTGATGCACTTTTTTCTTCTTTTCTTTTTCTTTATTTTTTCTTTCTTTCTTTCTTTCTGGTTTTTTTTTTTTTTTTTTTTTTGGTACTGGGGATTGAATCCAAGGGTGCTTGTCCATGGAACCACATCCCTAGTCCTTTTTAAATTTTATTTAGAGACAGGGTCTGCTTAGGGCCTTGCTAAATTGCTGAAGCTGGCTTTGAACTCATGATACTCCTGCCTCAGCTTCCTGAGCCGCTGGGATTATAGGCATGAGTTACCATGTCTAGCAGTTGTGATGCATTTCATAAAGGGCTGAGGCAGAGAAAGAGAGGCTCAGGAATTAGGAAAAGTAACTTTTTTTCTATATCTCCCCACTTATGTATTCACAGTTATTTATTCTCCAAGGAAAACCCCTCAAAATGAGATTCTTTGTCCTCGATCAGGAGGTGTGATAAGTTCTCTGGTAATTTTAAAAGAGGACTCTATTATGAAGGACAACCTCATAACACAGGGGCAGATCAGGCAGTATGAATCCCTGTGTTTTCAGGGCTTCAATCTTAAGAAGAAATTTGTCTCCACTCCTTAGGTTATTTCTTGGCATTGCAGAATGCTTTAAACTATTTTCATCATATTAAAACACACATATTTTTATTACCCTTATTGCTGGCACCATATGTTAGTAATATGGTTTAGAAACTCAATTTTTAAGTAGAAATGCTGAAGCCCAAGTGTCCCAAGGGTTCAGGATCCTGATCAAAGTCACATAGACAGAGCAGAGGTTGTGACTCAAGGCTGGGGCATAACCAGAGTCTCTGTGGGTCTAATGTCTGTGTCTTAGCAAAGTGCCCAACCTAGACTCACTCCATGGAACCAAGTGTGGCACATATAAAGGGAAGAACAAAATTGGGTCTTGGGTTGGAAAGGCTCTCAGGCTCTGTCTCAATCATGGCCCTTTCCAGAGTCAAAAGGAGGAAAGCTACAATATTCTGCATATTTTCTCTTAGAGCTAATGTTATAGATTTGGATGTGAATTTAAAAATCTAAAACAATAATATAAAGGAAGATACCTTCGTTGAAATTGTTACATGGGAGGCAACTGAGAAAAGAATCAGTAAACTTGAAGGAAGTTTTACAGAAACATCCTAAATTTAATTGTAAA